GCCTAGACACACACTACCGCACATACACTGCCTAGACACACTATACCGCACATACACTGTCCAGACACAGTATCGCACATACACTGCCTAGACACACACTACCGCACATACACTGCCCAGACACACTACCGCACTTACACTGCCCAGACACACACTACCGCACATACACTGCCTAGACACACTACCGCACATACACTGCCTAGACACACTATACCGCACATACACTGCCTAGACACACTATACCGCACATACACTGCCTAGACACACTACCGCACATACACTGCCTAGACACGCACTACCGCACATACACTGCCCAGACACGCACTACCGCACATACACTGCCCAGACACGCACTACCGCGCATACACTGCTCAAACACACACTACAAATCTCTATGAATAAGACCACACCAACATGATGCTTAGCGTGCCTGTGGGTAGGATATAGTAATGTATGTATACATTGCGACACAGAAGGTGAGATGAGGTGAAATTGGGTTAAACGTCGCGTCCAAGATTATTGCACTTGTATAGCGACGTGCATGCACGTGTGTGTGTGTGTGTGGCTGCTTGTACTAGTCCGGAGTGATGCCGATTTTTAGTGCTAGCGCACTGAGATACCATGCCGCAGTATAACATGAATACCCCACTCAGACACAGTATGCTGACTCCGAGCCGACCAGTCCTTGCTTTAGCCCCTTAATGCCGAGCGCCAGACAGCGTAACAACAAGTACCATCTTTAAACGTCTTTTGGCATGACGCGGCCGGGGATCGAAGCCCGGACCTTCCGCTCTCCGGGCGGACGCTCTACCACTAGACCACGGAGGCTATGAATAGACATGGAAGTATGCATAATATCCAACAATAACCCTATGTCTGGAACTGGAATATGAATAGATTTCTGGAGAAAATTTAATTAATCATTGCATCACTACCATGATGGATTCAGATGGATTGACTGTGGCACTTGGGCAACAAGTACCTTATTTCTTCATCGTCTATTGTATCATCTCCTGTGACCTATGTCTCATACATCACCTGTGACGTTCGTCATCTGCGTCATGGTCGTTCTCAACGCTACGTCTCTATAGTGCGGCATTTAACAACAAAACAATCTATGACCCATGTGTCACATATGTCACCTATGTCACCTATGACACCTCTGTCACATGTGCCACCTGTGTCACGTATGTCACTATGTCATCTGTGTCATCTGTGTCGCCTACGTCGGCTGTGTCATATGTGTCATCTGTGTCACCTGTGTCACCTGTGCCACCTATGTCATCTGTGTCATCTAAGTCACCCATGTCAACTTTGTCATCTGTGTCACCTACGTCACCTGTGTCACCTGTGTCACCTATGTCACCTATGTCACATATGTCACCTATTTGACCTATTTCATCTGTGTCACCTATGTCATCTGTGTCACCTGTGCCACCTATGTCATCTGTGTCACCTGTGTCACCTATGTGACCTATGTGACCTTTTTCATCTGTGCCATCTGTGTCACCTATGTCACCTGTGTCACCTTTGTCATCTGTGTCACCTGTGTCACCTATATCAACTATGTCAACTATGTCACCTGTGTCACCTGTGTCACTATGACACCTATGACACCTGTGTCACCTACGTCACCTATGTCACCTATGTCACCTGTGTCAGCTTTGTCATCTGTGTCAACTGTGTCACTATGACACCTATGTCACCTATGTCACCTGTGTCACCTGTGTCACTATGACACCTATTTCACCTTTGTCATCTGTGTCACCTATGTCATCTGTGGCATCTGTGGCATCTGTGTCATCTGTGTCACTTATGTCACCTGTGTCACCTTTGTCCCCTGCATCACCTATGTCACCTGTGTCACCTACGTCACCTATGTCACCTGTGTCACCTATGTGACCTATTTCATCTGTGTCATCTATGTCATCTGTGTCACCTGTGTCACCTATGTCCTCTGTGTCATCTGTGTCACCTACGTCACCTGTGTCACCTGTGTCACCTATGTCACCTATGTCCCCTATGTGACCTTTTTAATCTATGCCATCTGTGTCACCTGTGTCACCTGTGTCACCTATGTCACTTTTGTCATCTGTGTCACCTATGTCACCTATGTCACCTATGTCACCTATGTCAACTGTGTCACCTGTGTCACCTACGTAACCTTTGTCATCTGTGTCACCTATGTCACCTACATCACCAGTGTCACCTACGTTACCTATGTCACCTGTGTCACCTACATTACCTACGTCACTTGTGTCACCTGTGTCACCTATGTCACCTATGTCCCCTATGTGACCTTTTTAATCTATGCCATCTGTGTCACCTATGTCACCTTTGTCATCTGTGTCCCCTATGTCATCTGTGTCATCTGTGTCACTTATGTCACCTGAGTCACCTTTGTCCCCTGCATCACCTATGTCACCTATGTCACCTATGTCACCAGTGTCACCTACGTCACCTATGTCACCTGTGTCACCTACGTCACCTATGTCACCTGTGTCACCTATGTGACCTATTTCATCTGTGTCATCTATGTCATCTGTGTCACCTGTGTCACCTATGTCCTCTGTGTCATCTGTGTCACCTACGTCACCTGTGTCACCTGTGTCACCTATGTCACCTATGTCCCCTATGTGACCTTTTTAATCTATGCCATCTGTGTCACCTGTGTCACCTGTGTCACCTATGTCACTTTTGTCATCTGTGTCACCTATGTCACCTATGTCACCTATGTCAACTGTGTCACCTGTGTCACCTACGTAACCTTTGTCATCTGTGTCACCTATGTCACCTACATCACCAGTGTCACCTACGTCACTTGTGTCACCTGTGTCACCTATGTCACCTATGTCCCCTATGTGACCTTTTTAATCTATGCCATCTGTGTCACCTATGTCACCTATGTCATCTGTGTCCCCTATGTCATCTGTGTCATCTGTGTCACTTATGTCACCTGAGTCACCTTTGTCCCCTGCATTACCTATGTCACCTATGTCACCTATGTCACCAGTGTCACCTACGTCACCTATGTCACCTGTGTCACCTATGTCACCTATGTCACCTGTGTCATATGTATCATCTGTGTCACCTGTGTTACCTGTGCCACCTATGTCATCTGTGTCATCTGTGTCACCTACGTCACTTGTGTCACCTGTGTCACCTATGTCACCTATGTCCCCTATGTGACCTTTTTAACCAATCCCATCTGTGTCACCTGTGTCACCTGTGTCACCTATGTCACTTTTGTCATCTGTGTCACCTATGTCACCTATGTCACCTATGTCACATATGTCACCTATTTGACCTATTTCATCTGTGTCACCTATGTCATCTGTGTCACCTGTGCCACCTATGTCATTTGTGTCACCTGTGTCACCTATGTGATCTATGTGACCTTTTTCATCTGTGCCATCTGTGTCACCTATGTCACCTGTGTCATCTTTGTCATCTGTGTCACCTGTGTCACCTATGTCAACTATGTCAACTATGTCACCTGTGTCACCTGTGTCACTATGACACCTATGACACCTGTGTCACCTACGTCACCTATGTCACCTATGTCACCTGTGTCAGCTTTGTCATCTGTGTCAACTGTGTCACTATGACACCTATGTCACCTATGTCACCTGTGTCACCTGTGTCACTATGACACCTATTTCACCTTTGTCATCTGTGTCACCTATGTCATCTGTGTCATCTGTGTCATCTGTGTCACTTATGTCTTCTGTGTCACCTTTGTCCCCTGCATCACCTATGTCACCTATGTCACCTATGTCACCTATGTCACCTATGTCACCAGTGTCACCTACGTCACCTATGTCACCTGTGTCACCTACGTCACCTATGTAACCTGTGTCACCTATGTGACCTATGTCAACTATGTCACCTGTGTCACCTGTGTCACTATGACACCTATGACACCTGTGTCACCTACGTCACCTATGTCACCTATGTCACCTGTGTCATCTGTGTCATCTGTGTCACTTATGTCTTCTGTGTCACCTTTGTCCCCTGCATCACCTATGTCACCTATGTCACCTATGTCACCAGTGTCACCTACGTCACCTATGTCACCTGTGTGACCTATTTCATCTGTGTCATCTATGTCATCTGTGTCACCTGTGCCACCTATGTCCTCTGTGTCATCTGTGTCACCTACGTCACCTGTGTCACCTGTGTCACCTATGTCACCTATGTCCCCTATGTGACCTTTTTAATCTATGCCATCTGTGTCACCTGTGTCACCTGTGTCACCTTTGTCACTTTTGTCAACTGTGTCACCTGTGTCACCTACGTAACCTTTGTCATCTGTGTCACCTATGTCACCTACATCACCAGTGTCACCTACGTTACCTATGTCACCTGTGTCACCTACATTACCTACGTCACTTGTGTCACCTGTGTCACCTATGTCACCTATGTCCCCTATGTGACCTTTTTAATCTATGCCATCTGTGTCACCTATGTCACCTATGTCACCTATGTCACCTATGTCATCTGTGTCATCTGTGTCGCCTACGTCACCTGTGTCATCTGTGTCACCTGTGTCACCTATGTCACCTGTGTCATATGTATCATCTGTGTCACCTGTGTCACCTGTGCCACCTATGTCATCTGTGTCATCTAAGTCACCCATGTCACCTTTGTCATCTGTGTCACCTACGTCACCTGTGTCACCTGTGTCACCTGTGTGACCTACGTAACCTTTGTCATCTGTGTCACCTATGTCACCTACATCACCAGTGTCACCTACGTTACCTATGTCACCTGTGTCACCTACATTACCTATGTTACTTGTGTCACCTACGTCACCTATGTCATCTTTGTCATCTGTGTCACCTACGTCATCTATGTCACCTGTGTCACCTGTGTCACCTCCGTCACCTATGTCACCTATGTCACCTATGTCACCTATGTCACCTGTGTCACCTATGTCACCTATGTCACCTGTGTCACCTATGTCACCTACATCACCTATGTCAGCTATGTCACCTATGTCACCTGTCATCTGTGTCATCTGTTTCATCTATGTCACCTGTGTCGCCTGTGTTAGCTATGTCATCTGTGTCACCTGTGTCATCTATGTCACCTGTGTCATCTATGTCATCTATGTCACCTGTGTCACCTGTGATAGCTATGTCATCTGTGTCACCTGTGTTAGCTATGTCATCTGTGTCACCTGTGTCATCTATGTCACCTGTATCACCTGAGTCATCTATGTCACCTGTGTCATCTATGTCACCTGTATCGCCTGTGTCATCTGTGTCACCTGTATCGCCTGCCTCATCTGTGTCACCTGTGTCGCCTGTGTCATCTGTGTCATCTGTGTCACCCGTGTCACCTGTGTCAGCTATGTCACCCGTGTCACCTGTGTCAGCTATGTCACCCGTGTCACCTGTGTCAGCTATGTCACCCGTGTCACCTGTGTCAGCTATGTCACCCGTGTCACCTGTGTCAGCTATGTCACCCGTGTCACCTGTGTCAGCTATGTCACCCGTGTCACCTGTGTCAGCTATGTCACCCGTGTCACCTGTGTCAGCTATGTCACCTGTGTCACCTGTGTCAGCTATGTCACCTGTGTCACCTGTGTCAGCTATGTCACCCGTGTCACCTGTGTCATCTATGTCACCTGTGTCACCTGTGTCAGCTATGTCACCTGTGTCACCTGTGTCAGCTATGTCACCTGTGTCAGCTATGTCACCCGTGTCACCTGTGTCAGCTATGTCACCCGTGTCACCTGTGTCAGCTATGTCACCCGTGTCACCTGTGTCAGCTATGTCACCCGTGTCACCTGTGTCAGCTATGTCACCCGTGTCACCTGTGTCAGCTATGTCACCCGTGTCACCTGTGTCAGCTATGTCACCTGTGTCACCTGTGTCAGCTATGTCACCTGTGTCACCTGTGTCAGCTATGTCACCTGTGTCAGCTATGTCACCCGTGTCACCGGTGTCAGCTATGTCACCTGTGTCAGCTATGTCACCTGTGTCACAAATGCCACCTACATTTACCTTCGAACATGTATGTGTCCAATTTCAATCCCCCCCAAACGTTGGTGCATTCACGCATGCTCCAGGGGCTATCGCAATATCACATAGACATTAAAGATACGATTAAAACATGAATCTAAACCTCGTATCATTGATACAGGTTTTACATATGTATCCCACGGGTTACAATCTTATACAAGATGCTTCTATATCACACCTACACATCCCCACTTAATCTATCCTTGTGACGTCTACAGCCTTTCTTTCGTTGTAACAATCTATCTCTGCTTAATCCCATCAACACACCACGCTGTACAGGCTAAACCCTTTCTTTCCATGGATATTGGATGCCATTAATTATCCTTCTTTGAATGTCAAGTGTGGCAAGTATTTTAAGCTTCTTAAAAGGCATTTGTGCTGTTTGGCTGTTTGGCTCGATAGTTTTGTGTTGTGCTGAATGACTTTGTTGCACCAATTTTTAATAAACACCTGAGCAAAAAATACAGCCTCATGTGCTCTCTAAGTGTATTGGCCCAGTCGTCTAAGGCGCCGCGATTCGCTGTGCAGAGTTGCGTCCCTTGGGCACACCAGAAACCTATGATTGTGGGTTCGAATCCCGGTTCGCCCAGATTATGTTTCTAGGTTTGTCAGCACCATACCCGTGCTCGTGGGTTTCACCGAAGTGGTAAACGTCTGAGACCTGCATCACTTCGGGCTTTCCTCCCACATTAAGCTGACACGCCGCGATATAACTGGAATACTGTTAAAAGCGGCGTTAAACCCAACTCACTCACTCACTCACTCTAAGAATATTGTCGACGTATTTACAGAAGTATAACTCGACATACATGTTGTCTCACTTACTTGTCATAGTGTCATATATAACGACAATCAGTGTCATATATAACGACAATCAGTATCATATATAATGACAACCTGTGTCATATATAACGACAATCAGTGTCATATATAACGACAACCTGTCTCATATACGACTACAACCTGTGTCATATATAGCGACAATCAGTGTCATATATAACGACAATCAGTGTAATATGCATGTAATGACAATCAGTGTCATATATGACGACAACCAGTGTCATATGTAATGACAATCTGTGTCATATACGACGACAACCTGTGTCATATATAACGACAATCAGTGTCATATATAACGACAACCTGTGTCATATACGACTACGATCAGTGTCACATATAACGACAATCAGTGTCATATGTAATGACAATCAGTGTCATATATAACGACAATCAGTGTCATATGTAATGACAACCAGTGTCATATATAACGACAATCAGTTCTCCTATATAACGACAACCAGTGTCATGTATAACGACAACGTCATACATGACAGGCGGTCGGGTAGCCTAGTGGTTAAAGCGTTCGTTCGTCACGCCATAGACCCGGGTTCGATTCCCGACATGGGTACAATGTGTGAAGCCCATTTCTGGTGTCCCCCGCCGTGATATTGCTGGAATATTGCTAAAAGCGGCGTAAAACCATACTCACTCACTCATACATGACAACCAAGACATACAGGTGTGTCATTGAGACATTCTCTCCTATTGTCATATATGAAGACAACGATGACATACAATTGTATCATATAGACATTCTCTCATAATGTCATATACGAGGGCTGGTGAAACAGTTCTAAGTCTAACAAACAAAACCAACAATTGTGAAAATGTTTTTTTATTTTATTTTTCCAAAAACCCTCTATGCTTTTCAATACACTTGTCAAACCGAAAGTGAAGCTTTTCAATTCCAGCCAGTAAGAAGTTTTCTGAAGCCACCCTGAAAAACCCATTCACGTCAGCTTTGAGGTCATCGTTGTCGTCATAGCGCTTCCCACGAAGGGGTTCTTTCAGTTAGGAAATAAGTGGAAATCACTTGGTGCCAGGTCTGGCGAGTATGGAGGGTGAGCAAGCTCTTCGAACTCACATTGTCGCACAGTAGCCTTTGCAAGTCGAGAGGTGTGAGAAGAGGCATTGTCATGAAGTAGTAAAACTCCAGCAGTCAGCATTCCTCGCTGCTTTTCTTTGATAGAAACTTTTAGGCGATGAAGCAAATCAGCATAGTAGGCACCGATAATAGTCTTTTGACTTTCTAAGTAATCAACACGGATCACACCCTTTGCATCCCAGAATACACTGGCCATAACTTTCTTTGATCTTGAAGAATTTCTTTGGTGCCGAAGAAGCGGATTAGTGCCATTCCATGGATTGACGTTTTGACTCGGGATTATAGTGGAAGGCCAATGTATAATCACCCGTTTCTCATCTCTTTTTGAATCTGACGAAATCCTTCTCAATTAGCTCCAAATTTTCTCTGGCATTGTCAGTTCCTTTTCCCTTAAGATCAGAATACAGAAACTTTTATAGTTTCGATGGATCATGGCTTAGACCTGTGTCTTCCTCAAGTTCAGCAATGGTAATACGTCTATCTCACAGTATAAGTTTTTCTATTTCCTTGATCTTCTTTGGTCGAAGTTGAGGGACGTCCAGACCTCGGGTCATCATCAAGGCTTGTTCTCCCAGCTTTAAACATAGCTGCCCAACGTTTAAAAGTGGAATAGCTAGGGCCACGTATCTCCAAACACTTGTGACATGTGGTTATGAATTTATTGGGGAGTACTTTTCTCTGAATGACTGCTCGGTACTCGTTCTTTTCCATTTCTGTGTCATTTGGACCCCTATCACGTTCAACTGTCTGTCACTAATATACAAACGACCTCAACAGATCAAATACACTTGCAATGAACTACGTTAAAAGCGGCGTTAAACCCAATTCACTCACTCACGCACTGCAATGAACTACTCAAGCAATGTACTACATTGACTAGTTCACTTTGTTATGGCCCACAGTTAAAAGTTAGTCAGGCTTGGAACTTTTTTGACCAACCCTCGTATTCCGACAACCAAGACATAGAAAAGTCTCATGAATTAGCATCTCCAAAACAGACATTGCCATTCAGTGTCATATATTACGACAACCATGACATACAGGTGTCTCGCGGAGATATCCTCCCCAATACGTACGACAATCAAGACAGACATGCTTCTTACCAAGCATTCTCACGCCGAGCCTCATACATCGAAGACCGCCTCCGAAGTCTAATGGTAGAGCGTCCGCCCGGAGAGCGGAAGGTCGGGTGTTCGATCCCCGGCCGCGTCGTACCAAAAGACGTTAAAAGATGGAACTTGTTGTTACCCTGCCTGGCGCTCGGCATTAAGGGCTAAAACAAGGACTGGTCGGCCCGGGGTGAGTATACTGTGTCTGAGTGGAGTATTCATGTTAAACTGTGGCAAGGTATCTGAGTGGGCTAGCACTATAGAAAAATCGGCATTAGTCCGGGCTAATGTAAGCAGCCACACACGCACACGCACACGCACACACACACACACACAGACGCGCGCGCATGTACTGTCGCTTTATAAGTGCAACACGTGAAAGCGACGTTAAACCCATTTCATGTCACCTCATATAACGACATCTAGTCGAACTATGAACGTTTTACAGCCTATGTCATGTTTTATCTCCAGTATCAGCCTATTTCAGATAGTACCCACTTGTAAATGATGTACTCACATGTTGCAAATGGATCCGTGAAGACCCGGGTTAGAATAGGTCTTCAGCAACCCATGCCTGCCGAAAGACGCGACTATGCTTGTCGCCAGAGGCGACTAACGGGATCGGGTGGTCAGGCTCGCTGAATTGGTTGATACATGTCATCGTATCCAAAATGCTTAGATCGATGCTCATGATATCAATCACTGGACTTTCGCGTCATACAGCTGGAATGTTGTTGAGCGTGGCGTTTAACAACAAACAAACAAGCAAATAACACAAGTGGACATAAGACTCCAAGGAAGGAGTACGGATGTTCTGTCTTATATCACTTTGAAGCCATGTGAGCTGTACATAATTCAACTTAAACTGCCATCCATGATTCCTTGCCTTGAGGGAAGATGTGACATTAAACACAAATGATACACAAAACATATTATACTAAGGAACCCGTTATTACATAAATAATAATTACGCTGTCATTTGTTCGTGCGTTGTGACGAGAGTAGGGAAACGTCAATCGTGAAACGAATGCTTCATAACACATTCTACAACACTGAGCATACAGGAAAATGTCCTAAATACCTTTAAAAACTGTTATAGAAAAGAAACACTCGTTGGTTCAAAGAAATACTAAACTGAAGGGCAAAAGAAAGTATACCGAGTTTGTTTTTTAAGATAATTGAAAATTGAAAGAACTTCTGTTAAATTTGATCATGTCTATTTAACCATCACTCCTTCCTGCAACAGTTTGTAAAAAGTAATCGGTGACTGGGTAATTTTGGGTAAAAATTTATTGGTTCAATGAAGACTGGTAAGAAATGAATTTGCAACCACACGATCCCAACCTTGTTTGAAATGTAAATTTTGTGCAAATTTATTGATTTTCAAAGATGAGATGTCTATAATATTCATCAACACTTAGTATAGTGTAGTATGCGGAAAAAAGTGTCTTAAAACAATAAAATGAAATTATATTTAACAAATAAAAACATGTAAAAGTATTCTTTGAATGCTGACTAAGCGCCAGTAAAGTTCTTTTTTGGGATATAATATTTGTAACATAAGATATGTTCAACTGCAAATCAAACATGTAATAAAATCAACAGAGGTATAGTTTCCTTGTCTTCTCCGTTTATATAAATCTAATATGGATATTTTGGTTACATGTTGTATCATGTTTGTTTGTTTGTTTGTTTAACGCCGCACCAATCAATATTCCAGCTATGTGACGGCGGTCTGTAAATAATCGAATCTGGACACAACAATCCAGTGATTGACATCATGAGCATCGATCTACGCAATTGGGATGCGATGACATTCATCAACCGAGTCAGCGAGCCTGACCACCCCCGATCCGTTAGTAGCCTCTTACGGAAAGCATGGGTTGCTGAATACCTATTCTAACCAGGATCTCCTTCCATATCATGTAACACAATGTGACATTTTGGAAGATATCTTCAGTCCGCCATCCAGACTCCAGCCAGGTTTATGCAAGTGCAAGTAAAAGCGAAATAAGAAAACAAAAATGGAAAACTCTTAAAAAAGTAAACTCATTGTCGGCGAGATATTTCAAGAATGTCATTTTCTGCTTCAGCTGGAAACACAATTTGTCCCACAAAGTCATTCTTTCACAAGTGTGTTTATGTTTACTTCGCAAACAATGTATATGTTTGACCTTCTCTGCGACAGCAGCGTTCTTCAGCAACGCGGTCAAGACAGCATCCTTCTCAGCATACAGATTAGTTAATTGGACATTGGAAATCGTTGCCGGAGTATACAAAAATGTTATTTGCTATTTTATTATTAAATGCATAATAATCGTTTTATATTGCTCGAAACTGTATATTGGTTCCAGCTCATTTCGCGACATAAGGTTGAAAGGAAAAAGAGCTCAGATTAAAAAAAGCACACAAAATATTAACAATGAACATGTGCTCTATTGCGCTTGAGAGATTCGTCACGATGAAGACAGAGTTGGTGTTTGTCTTGGCACAGCTGGGACACAAGACACCAAAAGCCAAGCAACCCTTATATGGTATATGAAAACTGATGCTCGTAAAGTGTGGCAGCTGTGGGCAAAACTCTGGCAGCTATGAACAATAATCAGTTTTGTTTTCTTCAGACAAACGTTGGTAAATCGGTATTTCAACTAAACACTTGTCTTTGCGAGTTTGCTTAAACTGAAATACCGGTATCGCATCAGTACAACACTTATCTTAAGAAAACTTTAAGGTACAACTTTTTGGATAACAGATTCTGGTTTATTGCATATAGCGACG